TTATTTAACATAAACTTTTATATTGCTGTTCATCACTGAATGAAATCAGGGCAGTAACCCCAAACATGGCAGGATCCTGGAGGCAGAAGCTGATGTTGAAGCAGCTAAGTGGCTTGCTCCCTATGATTTGCTCTGCGTGCTTTCGTATATAACCCAGGACTACCAGCCCAGGGACTGGGCCCTCTCACATCAATCACTAATAAAGAAAATGCCTTACAGCAGGATCTTTTGGGGATATTTTCTCAAATGAGGTTCTCTCCTTTCAGATAACTAGTTTCTGATAAAACTAGCCAGTACAGGCACAGAGACTTATTGGTTCAGACTGTTTAAAGGAATCTCTTGCTTAGTCCTGGTGGTGGAGGCCTGGTTGAGGCTTTGGAGTCATAAGTACATCACACATTCAAGGCCTGTCTGGGCTATAAAGTGAATAAACGGTCAGTTTGGCCTACTTATTGTGTCCCATATTTTTCTTAAAACCAAGAGAAATTTGGGGGTACAGCTCAATTGAAATAGACCATTTACATATCATGCACGAAGCTCTAAATTTAATCCCTAATATTGAACAAGAAAGAAATGATTCATATTATTTCATGGACATACATTTTAGTTACCTAACATGACATAGTACAGTCTTTATGAAGCCATTAAGTCAATAACATGGCAAGAGCAGCAAAGCTAGAGAAGGAAGGGGATCTCATTTTTTTTAAATAATTGCCACATTACATTACTTAAAATATTTATTAAAAAATGACACATGGAATGAAGTTGCAAAAAAGCAGTTCGCTAACAAAAGTAAAGGAAATTAATAGAAATTGTTCCTGGGGAATCTCTGATAGTTGATTTCTTTGACAAATACTTATAATTAGTTGTTTAAAATATATTCAATTAAAGGAAGCTGTGTCAAAAAGGCTGAAGGCATAGATGAGAACAAGTTCTCACAAAATATAGAAAATCAATATAAAGAATGAAAATATTTTAGAAGGAAACAGCTAAAAATCTGCACTTTATTGGGACCCAATTCCTTTTACTTGGTTGCCTTGCCCAGCTTTAATACAAGCGGTGGTGGTGGTGGTGGTGGTGGTGGAGGGTTGCTTAGTCTTACTGAAAGTTCATATGCCATGCTTTGTTGATACCCATCAGAGACCTGCCCATTCCTAAACAGAAATGAAGTGGGAGGGGATCTGGTTCAGAGAGCAAAATTGGAGATATGAGAAAGGACTGGGTGGTGAGGAGGGAGGGGAAACAGCATTCAGGATGTTTCAACAAAGTACATAAATAAAATTCACTACATTAGCTCAGTATCAGATTTGTACAGTGAATAAAGGATCATAAAATCTAAGGATAAGTGAATTGTAGGAAAGAAAGGAAAATAATTAAGCACATCTATTTGAAGACTTGGAGCATTTACTGTGTTATGGATTAAAAATTACCATTGTTTCTTGTTTGTTCCATTGTGTCAAATACAATTGAATGGAGAAATATGGGAGTGGTGGGCCGTTAAGAAAAGTGAGCTTAGGGCTTGGCAGATGGCTTAATAATTAAAAGCATTTATTGTTTGACCTTCAAGAGGACATGTATTTCATTACCATTGTTCACATGGTGACTTACAACTGTCTGTAACTCCAGTTCCAGAGGATCTGATGCCCTCTTTTTTCCTCCACTCAAGAATTGTAGAGGATATTCTTTTCAAGCATATGTGGAATATTCTTCAAGTGTCCATACAATAAATCAGAAAACAGGCTTCAATAAATAAAAACAATTAAAAAAATAAAAATCTATTTTCTGACCACAGTATATTAGCTACCAATAACAGTAAGTTTTGAAATTTGCAAATTTGTGAAAATTAATCAGCACATTCTGTAACTGTCAATAGATTAAGGAGGGAATCTATCAAAAGCCCCTTTTCAAGTTAAAAAGCACCAATTTAGGGGCTCAATATGGTAGTGCAGGCCTGTGCATAATCCTAGAACTCAGGAACCTTAGTGAGGTCAGCTTCAGGTATATAGACAGATACTAACTAGCTAGCTAGCTAGATAACTAACTAATTATCTGGACATATTTGTTTCCCCAGGCTTCCATATGTTCTGAGAAAGTACTTGATGCTTGTGGTGGGAAGTTGGGGAATTTGAAGACACAATAAAATCTATTTAATTTGTCTTGTGTGTATGAGGAAATTGAAATCTAGGGTGGAGAACTGAATGGCTATCATACAGCCAGTATGTGACAGAATTCGCTGTAGAAGGGGAGAAATATTAGAATTGTCTACTTTGCATGAATACCCAACATATGCAACTTAATTTCATTGTTATAGAGAACTACACACTAAAGTAGGTATGACCCTGCTTGTTGATAGGTAAGGTAGATGAATCTCAGAGGGGTCAAGATATTTATACAAAGTTACTCAGGAAGAAAATGAGGGAACAGAGCTTCCAATTCAGGCCTATTTCTCTCTAAAATTTGTTTCTTTTCTTTCTTCACATTGTTTAAAAAGCTAAAATCCTTATCATCTCATCCCCTATCTTGATGCTCTAATTTATACTTTAGTTCCTTGTTTATCTGTGATCCTGTAAAATATATTTTTGGGTAATCAGTAGGGATACTTAGAAACAGAGTCCTCTATAGATTTAGCTTTAAGATGCAGGAAGAAACTTTTTAAATTTAATTTATTATTTTACATGTTGATCCCAATTCCCTCTCCCTCCCTCTCTCCCTCCCTCGCTCCCTCACTCTCTGCCTTCTTCCCTCCCTCCCTCACTCCTTTTCCTTTACCCTCTCTGCCCCCTCACATGCACCCTGACCACCCTCCCCTCCCATTCCCCCACCCCAATTCCACATGTAGGGCAAAGCCATCCTGGTGGGGCCATGTATATCTAACAGGTCATTTGAAGAAGGGACTAGGAATTCTCTCCTGTCTCTAGGTTAAGGCAGTTATCCCTCCATGGGGGAATGTGTTCACAAGGTCCTTTTGTGCACCAGGGATACATCCTGGTTCCACTGTCTGAGTTCCCTTAGACTGCTCAGTCCTTCTGGCTGAGGCCCATATTCAGGGGGGCCTGAGTCCGTCCCATGCTGGATTCCCAGCTATCAGTCTGGGGGCCCGTTAGCTCCTCCTTGTTCAGGTCAGCTGTCTCTATGTGTTTCTGCAACCTGGTGTTGTCCTCTCCATCTGCATCTAGGTTCTAGTTTGACTCAGTGTTTAGGTATGTGTGTTTGATTCCAACAGGTATTAGATGGGGGCTCCATGGATAAGTTAGTTGTTGATCTCATTTTCCGGAAAGGGCATTTATGGTAGCCTTTCCACAGTTGCTCAAATTGTTAGTTGGCGGCAGTCTTGTAGGTCTCTAGACCTTTCTTTGGGTTCTCTCTCTTTTATGTTCTCTCTCTTTCTCTTTCTCTCTCTCTGTTTCTCTCTCTCTCTCTCTTTCTCCTGTCTTCTATTCCTACCCTGACTCAATCTTCCTAGTCACATGTGTTTTCCACTCCCCCTCCTCTTTCTCCTACTTCTCTCTCCAATCACTGCCCCCCTACTTCCCCTGTGCTCTGGGGGACTTGTCCCTTCCCCCTTTCTGTGAGGGACTTTATGTGAATCTCTTAGAATACACCTTGTGTCCTAGTTCCTCTGGTGGTGTGAATTATAGGCTGGTGATCCTTTGCTCTTGGTCGAAAATCCATATATGAGCGAGTACATACAATGTTCCTCCTTTTGAGATGGGGCTACCTCATTCAGGATAGTTTCTTCAAGTGCCATCCACTTGCCTGTGAATTTCAAGATTCCATTATTTTTTTTTCTGCTGAGTAGTATTCCATTGTGTAGATGTGCTACATCTACTTTATCCATTCTTCAATTGGGGGGCATCTAGGTTGCTTCTAGGTTCTTGCTATTACAAATAATGCTGCTATGAACATAGTTGAACAGATGTCTTTGTTGCATGGATGTGGCTCCTTTGGGTATATGCCTAACAGGGGGATTGCCGGGTCCTTTGGTAAACTAATTCTCATTTTCCTGAGGAACCGCCATACTGATCTCCAAAATGGCTTTATGAGTTTGCACTACCACCAGCAGTGGAGGAGTGTTCTCCTTTCTCCACATCCTCTCCATCATGAGTCATCATTGGTGTTTCTAATTTTAGCCATTCTGGCACGAGTAAGATGGTATCTCAAAGTTGTTTTGATTTGTATTTCCCTGATAGCTAAGGATGTTGAGCACTTTCTTAAGTGTCTTTTAGCCTTTTTGATTTCCTCTATTGAGAATTCTTTCTTCAGCTCTGTACCCCATTTTTAATAGGGTTATTTGGTGTTTTGTAGACTAGTTTCTTGAGTTCTTTGTATATTTAGGAGATCAGCCTCTGTCAGATGTAGGATTGGTGAAAATCTTTTCCCAGTCTGTGCGCTGCCGTTTGGTCTTGTCCAATGTGTCCTTTGCCTTACAGAAGCTTCTAAGCTTGAAGAGGTCCCATTTATTAATTGTTGATCTCAGCCCCTAGAGTTATGTTCAGGAATTGGTCTCCTATAACAATTTGTTCAAAGGTACCTCCTACTTTCTCTTCTAAGAGGTTTCAGTGTGGCTGGATTGATGTTGTGATTTATTTTGCTTTGTTTTGTTGTTGTTGTTTTTTTTTTTTTTTTTTTTTTGAGACAGATTGAGATCTTATAGCCCAGGCTGGCCTTGGTCTCACTGTTTAGCAAAACATGACTTTGAGCTTGTGATCCTAATTCTTTTGTTTGCCCACACAATGAAAGAAGCCTCGTGTATCTCTAAGTGTGATTAGGAGGATTAAATACAATGTTAAGTGTGAAATAACCCTCTAGTTGTGGATTATCAGAAAAGGAAAGAAAAAGGAGAAATTTGTACTTAACCTGTCCTCCTGCTCACCTTAAATATCAAGCCATTCTCTAGTGGCCCTGTGACATTAAGGCACTGGTCCCTATTTTGAGTTGGCTTTGCCTACTCATCAATATTCACCATTACTAATTTTCTTTAATTTTTATTCTCTCTTCAGCGGAATCATTCAAGGAATTTGCTGAATTGCTCAATGAAGTAGAAAACGAGAGGATGATGATGGTAGGTCACTGTATTAGTAAGGGTTCTGTAAAGGAACAGAACCAACCAGGTGAGTATATATTAAAAGGGAATGTATTAGAAGAGCTTACACTATATGGGATGTCTAGTCTCTGCTCATATCCAAGAGACTGGGAACCTAATAGCTGCTCAATCAATGAGGCTGGATGCAGTTTCAGTATAACATTGAAGAGTTTTTGGTCTTCAGCCCATGTTGGAAGGCCAAGAACCTGGGTTCTAATGTCACCAAAGGATGGCAGGCACAGCAGCAATAGGGTAGACATGTTTACCAGCAGGCAGTGAACGTGAGCAGACAAAACACAACACTGCTTTTCTCTCAGACCACTTTATATCTGGGTCACCACTTTAGGAGACGTTCTTCCTGTTCAGTTAATCTTTCCATGAAAGACTTTCATAGACACACCTGGAATTATTCTTAGTGGATCCCAGATCCAGTCAAGTAGACAAGCAAATTAACTATACTAATGTCTTTTGTAGAGCAGAACTATAATTTTATTGAAGCTCTATTCATCGTTTTTTATTTGAATTTTTCTTTTAAATTATTTAAAATTTTTGTGTATGACTGTTTTGCCTGCATGTATGTTTGTATCTCATATGTATGCATGATACCTGCAGAGGCCAGAAGAGGGATCCCCTTGAGTTAAACTTACATATAAGTGTAAGTCACCAATGTATTTGCTGGGAATTGAACTGGGGTCCTTTGGAAGAACAGTCAGTGTTCTTAACTGCAGAGCCACCTCTCTATCACCCATTTTTTTTTCTTTTATAGATCTTACTTTTGGAGTCTAGACAAGTCATCATGAAATACATCTATCTTATTATGATATCTGTTAGGAGTTTGGTATATTTAGGTGTATGTTACTTTTTGAGTTAATTTTTTTTGAAAGATTCAACATCTTTTTTTTTTTTTTTTTTTTTTTTTTTTTTTACTATGTGGTTGTTTAGTGGGCCCCATTTCTCCATACCAGCTCCAGTATTTGTTGTTGTTTGTTTGGTTGATATTTACCTTTATGACTGCTGTAAGGTGAAATTTTAAGTTGTTTTAATTTCTGGTTGTTGGGGTTAATGAGAATCTATTGAAATATGCTTTAGCCATTTTTGTTTCTTTTAAGGCCTCTCTGTTCAGATGCCAGGATCATTTTATTTAAATTTTTCATTTGAAGTTTTGACCCTTTGTTTTTTTTATTTCTTAATATATTCTAGATATTAATTCTCCATCAGATATACAAATGGCAAAGTTTCTTGCCATTCAATTCTGTGGGACTCCTTTTTACCAAGATGGTTGTTTCTTTAGCTGCGCAGAAGTTTTGAGTTTTAGTAGGTACAGCTTGTCATGTGTTGGCCTTAATTATTGAGCAAATGGAGTCCTATTCAGAAAGTCCTTTCCTACATCTATATGGTGTAGGCACTGAGGCACTGACTATGTTCTTTTCTAGTAGTTTCAGTGTTTGAGGTTTTAGATTTAGTTCTTTGATCTGTTTGAAATTAGTTTTTGTGCAAGGTGATAGATACAGGTCTAATTTCATTCTTCTGCATGTGGAATTCCAGTATTTCGAGTACCATTTGTTGAAGATGTTTTCATTTTTCCAGAATATTTTTGCTACCTTTGTCAAATATTAAATTGCTGAAGTTATCTGTACTCATGTTTGGGTTTTCAGTTGTGTTCTATTGGTCTACATGTTTGTGTTTTTTTTTTGTTTGCCAGTACCATAAGTCCTTTTATTGCTATTGTTTTGTAGTCAATTTTGAGTTCTGCAATGGCAGTCTCTCCAGCATTGTTCATTTTGCTAAGGATTTGTTTTGACTCTCCAGGGCCTTTTGTGGTTCTAAATTAATTTCATGATATCTTTTTCTATTTCTGTGACAAATGGGATAGGGATTTTAATTAGGATTATATTGAATCTGTAATTGGCTTTTGGTAAAATGGTTATTTTCACAATATTAATCTATCTAACTATGAGTAGAAGTTGTTTTTCCTTTTTCTATTGTCTCTTCCTATCTCTGTCTTCAGAAATGTAAAGTTACCTTGGTTCAGTTTATTCCTAGATAGTTTTTTTTCCTAGAGACTATTGTGAATGGGAGACGTGTTCCATGGTCTTCTCTATGTTTTTATTAGTTGTATAAAGAAAAGGTATTGATTGGTACAAGCTAGTATTCTGCCATCTTGCTGAATTTTTTTATTATTTCTAGAAGTTTTCTGGTAGAATTTTTGACATATCTAATATATAATATATCATATGCAAATGGCCATAGTATGACTTCCTTTACTATTTGTATACTTTTGATTTCCTTTTATCTTGACTTATTGAGAACAGTTTATTGGGGGGGGCAAGGAATGGGATTATTTGGCTAACATATCTTGAATCAAAGCCCATCAAGGAAAGCCAGTAAGCAGAACTCTTCCATGGCCTCTGCATTAGCCCCTGCCTCTAGTTGCTCACCTGGTTTGAGTTCTTGCCTTGCTTTGAGTTCTTCACCCTTTCCAGCACAATGGTACTCGGTTTTCGGAGCACTGCTACTATTATCTCAGCTTCTAGAGAAGTGTGGTTGAAGATAGGTTTTGAGGGTAGGGTATTTAGTATTTGATTCTGACTCAACTACTAACTCTCTTCTTGGCTTTGTATTAATCAGTTTATTCTTCTAGTCCTTTTACTCTCTTGCAAAGTAAGGAAAATAATCAACACTCCTCTTGTTATGAAGCACCCTGAATGATACTATATGGAATGTTTTATAAACATGACAAACATTGATTATATAAGTATTGATTTTACTACTCTCCAGTTGTTCGTAAGAAATGACAGGAATTTTCCAAGTTATGAAATTGGCTTCTAAAGACAGTAAGGGGGGATAGACGTGAGTGCTTTCACTCAAGCCTCATAGGTGGCCTAGCAGTTCAAACAGAATTCATTGGGTATTGTCTCCTGTCAGAGCTTCCCAGGCCCACTGGCCATGTTGTTCTCAGAGGCACTCAGCTCTAGTTCACTACATTGCCACTAGAAAACTCAGCTGCCCTTCTCCACAGCACTTCATTTCTTTCATTTACTGGATAGCAAAGCTTTATATTCTGGCGCAGGTATCATCTTTTGTGATTTTGTTTGCCTTACTCTTCTTCCTTGTTCTATGTAACACATTTACGTTTAACCATATCTCGTTCTTTCTAAAATTAGAATACAAGATGACAAACAATAAGGAAGTTTATGGGCCGAGAGCATGGCAGTAGTCCTTGCCCAGTCATCTCCATAAATGAATGTAGATTGTGGCAGGAACTCTGAAGAGAGAAAAGGAGTATCCAGGCTGTGATGTTCTCAGATTACTACTGGGTAACTGTAGTATCTCAAAAATGGTGTGTAAGTGGCTAGCTTGTAGACTTCCTGTATATGAGGAAGTCTGTCTGTATGTTCTTGTTACTGAGAAGGGAGTTTCGTTGGTGAAGTACAGTCTATGTTTGAGGAATGACAGAAATAGCATTAACAGGTCCAGACTACTAAAAAGATGTATTCTTGAAGCCAATTTTGATAGCTTGTTTACCACCAATGATTCCTGAGCAATCCTGTGGTATTAGAGTTGATACCATATCTATTTAGCTAGACATTTCTCAGCTTTAATTTTGTCTTTATTCTTTAGGAGCCTGATTCTATAAACTCTTACTGAATTTAGGTGGCTTCTTATGGTTAGATTCCTATCCAGATACAGAGTTGCTATTGTTTTCACAGAGAACTCACAAAAATTATTGCAATGGTCAGAAAGGCATTTAAAGACAAAGCTTTCTTAAAAGGGAGTCTTTGGGTGGTGGGTGAACTCTTAAGAAATTTAAGGTTAAACAGTAAAAGAAAAAAAGATCAAGGGTTCAGCATGTTTTGTCTCCATATCCCCAGGTTTATTCTAGCAGAAAATAGTATTTTAATAACTGGGCATTTTAAGAAGATTCACAGAAGTAGTTTGTGGTGTGGGCTACTTGGTAATGCCATCTATTCAATTAGGGGAAGGCTATAAAGTCTAAATTCAGTGAAGCATGTGCAAATTAATAATTTGCCTTGATTGTCTGCCATGAGTTGTTTATACACTTTCTTATTCAGGATAGTTCCTTTGAATAAGAAAAACTAAAAACTTTGCCATCCTGGGGTCATCTGAATATACAGACCCAATTGTGCATTCATACAAATAATTGCTATGTGGCACTCTCTGCAAGTGGTGTATTTACTTTCTGTTCAAAGTCTTCCTCAGTGTTTCACAGACAGTCACATTTTACATGCCATCTATCTATTTGAAATTGGAACTAGTTTTTAAAAATCATCCATTGTTTTATAATAACCTATTCTAAAACCTAATGGCTTGTAATAAAATTATTTAATTATAGGCAATTTGGTTGTGGATCAGGAATTTAGGCTCATTGAGTATTTCTTCTTCTCCATATAGTAACACTTACTGAACACATGGCTTGTTTTATTGGTTATAGGTGGTGTTCCTGACAAGGTTGGAAAGCTGGGTTCATCTGGTAAATGCTATTGACCAGAAAGTCTGCAATGGGTCTCTCTGACTTTTAGTCTAAGAATTAATCAACCTTTTCTTTTTTTCAATACTACCTCATGTATTACATAAGGAGAACTGAGTAGTCTCTGGTGGATAATTATGACATAAACTTAGAACTCCCTTAGTGTCATCTCTGATTGATTGATTCAAAACAATAACGAGCCCCCTCACATTCAAGATGGGGTAGGGCTCAGGTCTCATCTTTCAATGGCAAGCATATTTTTAAAAGTAAGGTCATGATTTAATACTGCTATAATAAAAAAAGGAAAATGCCTCTTTGAACTTAATTTGTCTTTAAGTGAGTAAGCAAGGCCAACATTTTCCATAATCTACAATCCAGAAAAGTATAAGGTGAGTTGGATAAGAAATTCCTGGTGTAGTTTTCATTGAACAGTTAATGTGAGTTTTGGCATTATTGAGGGACCTCTGTAGAAAAACCTCCACAGAGGGAG